CTGGCTTCCATTCTTCTCTGTGAAAGCTCACATCCAATCCCAGAACAAGCTTCAGGTGTAGCTACTGTCTAGCCTTGTTTTGCCCATATAATTGGCAGGATTCATAGTTCTGTCCATTACCTCCTCGAAGAAAGCGTAATGAACAGTGCATAATCTTTGACCTTAAGTTAATACCTCTAGCTCCATCCTATGGGAAACAAACTGCTCCCGCCTTACCTAATATCAGCTTAAAACATTTGGCTTGCTTCTGCAGAAATACAATGCAACCCATTACTTTAAATGAGCACATACCATCTAGTACCTACAGCGAGTGAGACATGTTAACATACAGTAGTTCATTAAATATGAACATCATAGAGTTAATTTTTTCATCTGCATAAACATGGTTAAGATTTTGTGACAAAAGCAGTCGTGTCTGCACATTTCACTTCAGTTATGCTTACAATTTAGGTAAAAATGATGATAGAAAACTCATATCTGACGATACTGAAACTATTAAATAAACCTATAACATTAGTTCCAACACAGACTTTACATGTTCACCCATATTCAGTAGACGTTGCCCATGGTGTTGATGTGACACAACCAAACTGCTTCTGGTGGACACTCCTTATTGAACAAAAACATGTACTACTGTACTGTACTGTAAATCATAAGGGTTTAACAGATGACAGTAGAACATTTTTCATACAAAAAGTATTTTCCTTATTTGAATTTCATGATTTTTTTTTTACAATATTGAATCACAGTTGGTGGAATGTAGAATTTTTTAAAACAATTCTAAATAGAAAAAAGAGTAATGAAGTAAAAAGAAATCAGAGCGGTAATCCTGCATGGAGTAGCTTCTTAGTATTTCTATATGGTGATGCTGTTTTCTATGCGGCTGGGCAGAAGGAAAAGGTACGGCAACTCCAGTCCTTCATTCTGACTCAGGATTTGGCCCTCGAGCTCCTTCAGCTCTCTTCTGAACCTGTCAATCAGCACCTTGGCCTGCCCTTCGGTGAAGTGCTCCTCTCTGTATTGACCCAAAGGAATCTAGGCAGAAGAAAAGAGAAAGCTGCTAAAGAAAGAGGAGCTTAAAGTGAGTGGGAAACCATGATCACTCTGTTCAGCAG